GAGTTTCTTTTGTCGACAGAAGCCACTTCTCGCTAGTAACTCATACCTCAAGGCTTAATCATCGATCTCATGGTTGTACAGTTTTAATGTTTTATTCAACGCATGTTGTATATTTTGAAGCACCATAAAGATTTTCATTAATTTTGTTCTTCTATAACTGATATAGATAACGTGTTGTGGTGCAATACAGGACTAACTTCATTTGAAGAGGAGAATTCTAAATAATGAAAAACTCATTTCTAGTGATCTCTTCAACCAAGCTTAATTCTTGAGTTTGCACTCTGTATTGTATGTGTTTCTGCCTTTTTCAAAAATCATTTTTTTACTTAGGTCTACCGTTTTGACTTCGCGATTACCGCTTATGCGTCTGCTCAAGTCAAATGTCTCTTACATTCTCGATTCAAAGCATGATGCCCATCTATCCTAAGCTCTTTCAGTTAGGCTCTGTTCTGTCCACCTCTCACATCTTTGGCCGTCATAGTAGTCTTTTCCCAGCAATCTCTAGAAAAACTGCCATTCTTGTGATGGAGTCTCATCTCTCTTACTTACATATCAGTACCACTTTAGATCTCCTACATCTTTTTGACAATGGAAGCAGCTCTAATCCTAGGTCAAACGATGTCATTACAGACACTGTCTAGCAGGGTGATACCCAATGTCCGTCGCAGCATTCTTCTCTCCATAATATTAAGCTTATGTTCTTCATTTCGCATATTTGGCCAACCTTCACAGTCATACAGCATTATAAGAATACGCATGCTTGGGATTTGAATAGCACTGGCATCCGCTTGTCAGAATTCATGTGAAGTTTCCATTTCACCAAGGTTTCATTTGTCCTGGTCGATAGCTAATCTTGAAGTTTGCCTTCGCCAGAGATGTGACTGTTTTGATATTAAGTACATGTGTTGCTAATCGGTTCATCATCGCTGGACATGGTTTTCGAAGTTGATTCTGATTTCTATATATTCTGCCTTCTTTGTGTTGAACTTCAAGCTTTATATAATTGGTTCTTTTATCTCTGTACCTCTTCTTCAAGTTCTTTTCTGCTTTCTGCCATCGAAACACATCATCTGCATACAGGAGCATTCATTAAGGCTGTCGCTTGACCTTCCGTCATTGCGTCCATGGCTACGATGAAGGGTAGAGGAGAAGCACCAATTCGTGCATGCCGCTCTTTACGCGGAATGGTTTTGTCTGCCCTGTTGAGTTCGCACATGGCTTGTGGCTTCATAATATTTTCTTTGACCTTAGTTGTGATTCTGAAACCATGTGCTTTCAGAACACCTACCATATGACATCATGGAGTACTTGACAAAAGCATTCTCCAATCCTGGAAAAGAGCACGTGGCTCTCTTTTCC